GGAGATGGGCTCAAGCAATCCTGCCTTCAGCCTCCCGAGTAAATGGACTACAGGCACGTCCGCCACCACGGCGCCGGTCATTTTTTCTATATGCTTTTAGTTGGCCAATTAATTTCTTTCTATTATAGTAGAGACGGGGTCTTGCTCTTGTCAGGCTGGTTTCGAACTCCTGACCTAGCGATCTCCCGCCTCGGCCTCCCAGAGTGCTAGGATGACAGGCTGAGCCACGCACCCAGACTACACCCAGCCTCGGTTGTTCCTGGTACACTTGGGTTAGGCGTTTTGCATCCAACTCTTGGGAGACCCCTCTTGTACGTCCATCAAGCAAGTCTTGGCAGCGTCGTGGCTAGAAAAGCCCCAGAGTTCTCTAAGCCAAGTCAATGTGGAAAAATCCCTGTCTGGCCCAGTCCTTTGTTAATATCTAATATCACTTCTCTGGGCATTTGTTTCCCTCTGCATATATTTTTGGAAAGCCAAAAAGATCTGCATTTGATAGTAGGGTTATTATAGGTGGTTTTATTCTCTTCTCCACCTGGGAAGTGACCCAGAGTGACAGGTGACATCAGAAGACAGAACATTTTCCTAAGCACTGGGGGAAGGTCCTAAGACAGTCCCATTGTCCTAAGCACTGTGGGGAGGTCATTGTTCAAAACACTTTGATTTCATGCTAGTTCTAAACGGAAAATCCCTGGAAAAATATATGTAAAAGGCTGAGCGTGGTGACTCAAGCCCATCATCCCAGCACTCTGGGAGGCCAAGGTTGGAGGATCACTTGAGCTCAGGGGTTTAAAACCAGCCTGAGCAAGAGCGAGACCTCATCTCTAGTAAAAATAGAAAGAAATTAATTCGCCAACTAAAAAATATATATAGAGAAAAAAATGAGCCGGGCATGGTGGCGCATGCCTGTAGTCCCAGCTACTCGGGAGGAGGCTGAAGCAGGAGGATCGCTTGAGCCCAGGAGTTGGAGGTTGCTGTGAGCGAGGCTGTCGCCACAGCACTCTAGCCTGGGGAACACAATGAGATTCTGTCTCAAAAAAATAAAATAAATAAATAAAAATGAATATATATGTAAGCCATTAAACTTTAGGGGTGATAGTAAATTTTATAGCCGGAAGGCAGAGTCAGACGAGGGCAGTAAAATCAAAGGGCTGGTGAGATGAGGCTAATCTTCTTCATGGGGAAATTAATTCTAAACAGGTTCTGTCCGATTTTGAGTGGTCATCTCAGTTAGCTATAAACAAGTTTGATGTTTGTTCTTCATTTCAAAGCAAGGTTAACCTCACTGACCAACGGAACTTGCAGAGGGATTTAGCGTCACCGTTTGGGGAAAGTGATTAAAATTTGTTCTTTTCTTTGCGACGCCTCTCAGTTTGGTTTCCTCTCGTTTCATATACACTGCTGCCATCTACTGAATGAAATTTTAAGGCACTCTTAAGTTTTTCTTTCCGTTTCTGCAGTTGCATAACCTACAAGTCACTTTGGGAAATGCAAAACTAAGTGAGTTGTCCTCCCTCGGCCTCTCAAAAATTGGTATTCTCTGTTTTTTATAATTTTGCTACAGTTATAGCTTGGGTACTTTTGTTCAGAATATGCTTAAAAATCTCAAAGATAAGGATTGATTCTTAATATGCTTAAAATTTAAATCTCAAAACAAAAACTCAAGGAATTTTATATACTATACTGTTTTAAGTAGTAGTTATGTATAATATATATATATATAGTTACTTCCATTTTTTTTGAGACAGAGTCTCACTCCTGTCACCCAGGCTAAGAGTGAGTGCAGGGCAGTCAGCCTCGCTCACAGGCAACCTCCAACTCCGGGTCTCTAGCCATCCTCCTGCCTTCAGCCTCACCGAGTAGCTGGCAGGATGAGCCAACGCCGTGCAGCTAATTTTTCTTATATATTTTTAGTTGGCCAATTAATTTTCTTTCTATTTTTAGTAGCAGAGCGGTCTCGCTCTTTGCTCAGGCTGGTCTGAACTCCTGACCTCAAGCGATCCTCCCACTCGGCCTCCCAGAGTGGCTATTAGCAGGATGAGCCACCCGCCGAGCCTATATTTCACTGTTTAAACCAACACAGAAAACTATATATCATACAGGGAAGTATTTTTTATTGTCTGTTTCTTTAGAATAGTTGAAACTGCATGATATTGGTAGAAAGAATATAGAGGGAACTTAGAACCAAGGTCTATTTCATACCTTTCTTCTATCAACATACACTAGGCGTTGAAGCAAGGCATGAACCTCCTCTGACCCTCATCTGAAATTGGATTAATAATCTCCACATGGGGCGGTACCCTGCACAGTATATCTGGCATAAAATAGGTAGATAGTAAATAATTATGAGGGTTTTTTTCCTTTTTAAAGGAAAAGATTAGTGAGTAATATATCGGGAGCTAAGGAAATAAAGAAACAGAAGGAGGGAAAATTAACTTTGCCAATCACCTAGAGAATTTATTGAGGTTGCGACAATGAGATTGTGGTAGACTTATTTAGCAAAACCCATGTATAATAGGATGCGGTGTGAAATCCAGGTGAAATCTGGAAATTTTCTATAAAAAAAGAAAAAAATGTGCCAAAAAGGAATTTTTAAACTAAGATGGATGAGTGGGTCCTTTTTTGAAAAAGCGTATTCACATTTTTCAACTCCGCTAACTCTTAATTATAAAATAGTTTGGAAAGCCCCATTTTGGTTTTTTCCTTAATTACGCATAGACACTTTACATTGTATTTCAACAAACAAAAATAATATAATCTCATAGTTATATAGTATTGGTGATGACAAAGATGAATGTTGTTAAGAATTCTGATTTTTGTATAAAAAAAATATATATTAGTAAGGGAAATATAAAAACATTAAAAAATATCCACCACATCTCCATTCTACACACTATAAAGTTAGCTTCCCATGCAACTTCTGCTAATATTTTTATCTTGTTCATGCCATTCTTTTGTACATTGCCCAGTAAATAAAAACTAATTAGGCCAAATGATAGCGTAACAGGAACTCGCTTAGAAGAGGGATCTCTTGGAAGTGTGATGGGTCTTTTCAAAGTTATGATGTACGGCCGGGCGCGGTGGCTCACGCCTGTCATCCCAGCACATCTGGAGCTGAGGCGGGGGAATCGCTCGAGGTCCGGGAAGTCTGAGACCAGCCTGAAGCAAGAGGAGATCCTGTCTCTGCTAAAAAAAAAAAAAAAAAAAAAAAAATAGTTCACACCTATTGAAGATTTCATGAAAAATAAGAAAATTAGAAAATATAGAACAAGAATATAAAAATAAAAATAGAAAGAAATTCCACTGGCAACTGAAACTAATAGAAAAATACTGCTCCGTGGCCTACTCCTGTGATCTAGCACTCTGGAGGCCAAGGAGGGAGGCATAATTTGAGCTCGGGATTCGGACCAGCCTAAGAAGAGAGAGACGTTCTGCAAAAAAAAATATACAGTTCACAGCTATTAGAATTCAGGAAAAGAAGAAAAAGAAATTAGAAAATAGAAAATGAAATTATTAAATAAAGAATAAATTTAAAATTGAAGAAATTAATTGGCCAATAATATATACAATAGAAAAATCATCCGGCGCCGTGGTGGGCTGCCTGTAGTCCCAGCTACTCGGGGGCAGCCGAGGTGGGAGATTGCTCGAGCTCAGGAGTTCGAGACACCCTGAGCAAGAGCGGACCGTCTCCACTAAATAGAAAGAAGTTAATTGGCCAACTACAATATATGACACATTAGCTGGCATGGTGGCGCATGCTGTAGTCAGCTACTCGGGAGGAGGCTGAGGCAGAGATCGCCTGAGCCAGGAGCTGGAGTTGCTGTGAGCGAGGCTGACGCCACGGCACTCACTCTAGCCGCGCGACAAGTGAGACTCTGTTCAAATAAAAAAACCTAAGCGCAGCCCTGGGCACTGAGGCACCGTGAGGGAGCAGGGCGGGCGGGGCGAAGATGGACCAGTGTGCGCTCACCTGCGGGCAGAGCTAACGCGGTGCTTCCGGCAGGTGAGAGACTCGGGCAGTCCTTCCTGACGGTGCATGTCCCCCTGTACGTGTCTACGTGTAGTCGCCCCCCCGGGCTGGGCCTCCGCTGGAGCACCACACGGAGATGGAGTTCTCCTTCTTCTACGACACTGTGCTCTGGAGGACAGGTAACCTGTGGCAGCTGCTCGGGAACCTCCCAACACTGCGCGGGCGCTCCGCATTCACCTGGACGCTCAGGGGCCCGGGCGACAGAGCGAGATCTGTCTCAAAAAAACAAAAAGACCAGGCGGGCCGCATTGCTCACAACTGTCATCCCAGCATCTGGGAGGCTGAGGAGGAGGATCGCTCGAGGTCAGGGTTCGAACCAACTGAGAAGAGAGAGACCCATCTCTACTGTATAGAAGAATTAATTGGCATAATATATATAAGA